ATTCTCCCTCTATCCATCACCCCACCCAATTCTCCCGGTTTCCATCACCCCGTCCCGTTCTCCCGCTTTCCATCACCCCGCCCCATTCTTTTGCGTTCCATCACCCCACCCCATCCTCCCCTCTTTCCATCACCCCGTCCCATTCTCCCAATTTCTATCACCCCGCCCCATTCTCCCTCTTTCCATCACCCCGCCCCATTCTCCCGCTTTCCATCACCCTGTTCCATTCTCCCTCTTTCCATCACCCCGCCCCATTCTCCCTCTTTCCATCACCCCGCCCCATTCTCCCGCTTTCCATCACCCCGCCCCATTCTCCCTCTTTCCATCACCCCGCCCCGTTCTCCTGCTTTCCATCACCCCGCCCCATTCTCCCGCTTTTCATCACCCCGCCCCATTCTCCCGCTTTCCATCACCCCGTCCCATTCTCCCGCTTTCCATCACCCCGCCCCATTCTCCCGCTTTCCATCACCCTGCCCCATTCTCCCTCTTTCCGTCACCCCGCCCTACCCTCTCTCTTTCCATCACCCCGCACCATTCTCCCGCTTTCCATCACCCCGCACAATTCTCCCTCTTTCCATCACCCCACCCCATTCTACTGCTTTCCATCACCCCGTCCCATTCTCCCGCTTTCCATCACCCCGCTCCATTCTCCCGCTTTCCATCACCCCGCCCAATTTTCCCTCTTTCCATCATCCCGCCCCATTCTCCCTCTTTCCATCACCCCGCCCCATTCTCCCCCAATCCATCACCCCGCCCCGTTTTCTATCTTTTCATCACCCCGCCCCATTCTCCCTCTTTCCATCACCCCTCCCTATTCTCCCTCTTTCCATCACCCCGCCCCATTCTCCCGCCTTCCATCACCCTGCCCAATTCTCCCGCTTTCCATCACCCCGCCCCATTCTCTCGCCTTCCATCACCCCGCCCCATTCTCCCTCTTTCCATCACCCCGCCCTATTCTCCCACTTTCCATCACCCCGCCCCATTCTCCCGCTTTCCATCACCCCTCCCCATTCTCCCTCTTTCCATCACCCCGCCCCATTCTCCCGCCCCATTCTCCCGCTTTCCATCACCCCGCCCCATTCTCCCGCTTTCCATCACCCCGCCCCATTCTCCCTCTTTCCATCACCCCGCCCCATTCTCCCTTTTCCATCACCCCGCCCCATTCTCCCTCTTTCCATCACCCCGCCCCATTCTCCCGCTTTCCATCACTCCGCCCCATTCTCCCGCTTTCCATCACCCCGCCCCATTCTCCCGATTTCCATCACCCCGCCCCATTCTCCAGCTTTCCATCACTTCGCCACATTCTCTCGATTTCCATCACCCCGCCCCATTCTCCCGCTTTCCATCACCCCGCCCCATTCTCCCTCTATCCATCACCCCGCCCAATTCTCCCACTTTCCATCACCCCGTCCCATTCTCCTGTTTTCCATCACCCCGCCCCATTCTCTTGCTTTCTATCACCCCGCCTTATTCTCCCGCTTTCCATCACCCCGCACCATTCTCCCGCTTTCCATCACCCCGCCCCATTCTCACTATCTCCATCACCCCTCCCCATTCTCCCTCTTTCCATCACCCCGCCCCATTCTCATGCTTTCTATCACCCCGCCCCATTCTCCCTCTTTCCATCACCCCGCCCCATTCTCCTTCCTTCCATCACCCTGGCCAATTCTCCCGCTTTCCATCACCCCGCCCCATTCTCCCGCCTTCCATCACCCCGCCCCATTCTCCCTCTTTCCATCACCCCGCCCCATTCTCCCGCTTTCCATCACCCCGCCCCATTCTCCCACTTTCCATCACCCCGCCCCATTCTCCCTCTTTCCATCAACCCGCCCCATTCTCTCGCTTTCCATCACCCCGCCCCATTCTCCCTCTTTCCATCACCCCGCCCCATTCTCCCACTTTCCACCACCTCGCGCCATTTTCCCTCTTTCCATCACCCCGCCCCATTCTCCCACTTTCCATCACCCCGCCCCATTCTCTCGCTTTCCATCATCCCGCTCCATTGTCCCGCTTTCTGTCACCCCGCCCAATTCTCCCTCTTTCCATCACCCCTCCCCATTCTCCCTCTTTCCATCACTCCGCCCCATTCTCATGCTTTCTATCACCCCGCCCCATTCTCCCTCTTTCCATCACCCCGCCCCATTCTCCCGCCTTCCATCACCCCGCCCCATTCTCCTTCCTTCCATCACCCTGGCCGATTCTCCCGCTTTCCATCACCCCGCCCCATTCTCCCGCCTTCCATCACCCCGCCCCATTCTCCCTCTTTCCATCACCCCGCTCCGTTCTCCCGCTTTCCATCACCCCGCCCCATTCTCCCGCTTTCCATCACCCCGCCCCATTCTCCCTCTTTCCATCAACCCGCCCCATTCTCTCGCTTTCCATCACCCCGCCCCATTCTCCCTCTTTCCATCACCCCGCACCATTCTCCCTCTTTCCATCACCCCGCCCCATTCTCCCACTTTCCATCACCCCGCGCCATTTTCCCTCTTTCCATCACCCCGCCCCATTCTCCCGCTTTCCATCACCCCGCCCCATTCTCTCGCTTTCCATCATCCCGCTCCATTGTCCCGCTTTCTATCACCCCGCCCATTTCTCCCTCTTTCCATCACCCCTCCCCATTCTCCCTTTTTCCATCACCCCGCCCCATTCTCCCGCTTTCCATCACCCCGCCCCATTCTCCCTCTTTCCATCACCCCGCCCCATTCTCCCTCTTTCCATCACCCCGCCCCATTCTCCCGCATTCCATCACCTCGACCAATTCTCCCGCTTTCCATCACCCCGCCCCATTCTCCCTCTTTCCATCACCCTGCCCCATTCTCCCTCTATCCATCACCCCACCCGATTCTCCCGCTTTCCATCACCCCGTCCCATTCTCCCGCTTTCCATCACCCCGCCCCATTCTTTTGCGTTCCATCACCCCACCCCATCCTCCCCTCTTTCCATCACCCCGCCCCATTCTCCCGCTTTCCATCAACCCGCCCCATTCTCCCACTTTCCATCACCCCGCCCCATTCTCCCTCTTTCCATCACCCCGCCCCATTCTCCCGCTTTCCATCACCCCGCACCATTCTCCTGGTTTCCATCACCCCGCTCCATTCTCCCGCTTTCCATCACCCCGCCCAATTCTCCCTCTTTCCATCACCCCACCCCATTCTCCCTCTTTCCATCACCCCGCCCCATTCTCCATCTTTCCATCACCCCGCCCCATTATCCCTCTTTCCATCACCCCGCCCCATTCTCCCACTTTCCATCACCCCGCCCCATTCTCCCGCTTTCCATCACCCCGCCCCATTCTCCCTCTTTCCATCACCCCGCCCCATTCTCCTGCTTTCCATCACCCCTCCCCATTCTCCCGCTGTCCATCACCCCGCCCCATTCTCCCGCTTTCCATCACCCCGCCCCATTCTCCCTCTTTCCATCACTTCGCCCCATTCTCCCGCTTTCGATCACCCCGCCCCATTCTCCCGCTTTCCATCACCCCGCCCCATTCTCTCTCTTTCCATCACCCCGCCCTATTCTCCCTCTTTCCATCACCCCGCCCCATTCTCCCGCTTTCCATCACCCCGCACCATTCTCCTGGTTTCCATCACCCCGCTCCATTCTCCCGCTTTCCATCACCCCGCCCAATTCTCCCTCTTTCCATCACCCCACCCCATTCTCCCTCTTTCCATCACCCCGCCCCATTCTCCATCTTTCCATCACCCCGCCCCATTATCCCTCTTTCCATCACCCCGCCCCATTCTCCCGCTTTCCATCACCCCGCCCCATTCTAACGCTTTCCATCACCCCGCCCCATACTCCCTCTTTCCATCACCCCGCCCCATTCTCCTGCTTTCCATCACCCCTCCCCATTCTCCCGCTGTCCATCACCCCGCCCCATTCTCCCGCTTTCCATCACCCCGCCCCATTCTCCCTCTTTCCATCACCCCGCCCCATTCTCCCGCTTTCGATCACCCCGCCCCATTCTCCCGCTTTCCATCACCCCGCCCCATTCTCCCGCTTTCCATCACCTCGCCCCATTGTCCCTCTTTCCATCACCGCGCCCCATTCTCCCAATTTCCATCACCCCGCCCCATTCTCCTGCTTTCCATCACACCGCCCCATTCTCCAACGTTTCATCACCCCGCCCCATTCTCCCGCTTTCCATCACCTCCCTCTTTCCATCACCCCGCCCCATTCTCCCGCTTTCCATCACCTCCCCATTCTCCCGCTTTCCATCACCCCGCCCCATTCTCCCGCTTTCCATCACCCCGCCCCATTCTCCCTCTTTCCATCACCCCGCCCCATTCTCCCGCTTTCCATCACCTCCCCATTCTCCCGCTTTCCATCACCCCGCCCCATTCTCCCGCTTTCCATCACCCCGCCCCATTCTCCTGCTTTCCATCAACTCGCCTGGCTGGTGGGGGTGCTGGGAGCAACTCGCCTGGCTGGTGGGGGTGCTGGGAGCAACTCGCCTGGCTGGTGGGAGTGCTGGGAGCAACTCGCCTGGCTAGTGGGGGTGCTGGGAGCAACTCGCCTGGCTGGTGGGGGTGCTGGGAGCAACTCGCCTGGCTGGTGGGGGTGCTGTGAGCAACTCGCTTAGCTGGTGGGGGTGCTGGGAGCAACTCGCCTGGCTGGTGGGTGTGCTGGGAGCAACTCACCTGGCTGGTGGGGGTGCTGGGAGCAACTCACCTGGCTGGTGGGGGTGCTGGGAGCAACTCACCTGGCTGGTGGGGGTGCTGGGAGCAACTCACCTGGTTGGTGGGGGTGCTGGGAGCAACTCGCCTGGCTGGTGGGGGTGCTGGGAGCAACTCACATGGCTGGTGGGGGTGCTGGGAGAAACTCACCTGGCTGGTGGGGGTGCTGGGAGCAACTCACCTGGCTGGTGGGGATGCTGGGAGCAACTCACCTGGCTGGTGGGGGTGCTGGGAGCAACTCATCTGACTGGTGGGGGTGCTGGGAGCAATTGACCTGGCTGGTGGGGGTGCTGGGAGCCACTCACCTGGCTGGTGGGGGTGCAGGGAGCAACTCACCTGGCTGGTGGGTGTGCTGGGAGCAACTCACCTGGCTGGTTGGGGTGCTGGGAGCAACTCACCTGGCTGGTGGGGGTGCTGGGAGCAACTCACCTGGCTAGTGGGGGTGTTGGGAGCAACTCACCTGGCTGGTGGGGGTGCTGGGAGCAACTCACCTGGCTGGTGGGGATGCTACGAGCAACTCACCTGGCTGTTGGGGGTGCTGGGAGCAACTCACCTGTCTGGTGGGGTTGCTGGGAGCAACTCACCTGGCTGGTGGGGGTGCTGGGAGCAACTCACCTGGCTGGTGGGGGTGCTGGGAGCAACTCGCCTGGCTGGTGGGGGTGCTGGGAGCAACTCGCCTGGCTAGTGGGGGTGCTGGGAGCAACTGGCCTGGCTGGTGGGGGTGCTGAGAGCAACTCGCCTGGCTGGTGGGGGTGCTGGGAGCAACTCGCCTGGCTGGTGGGGGTGCTGGGAGCAACTCACCTGGCTTGTGAGGATGCTAGGAGCAACTCGTCTGGCTAGTGGGGGTGCTGGAGCAACTCACCTGGCTGGTGGAGGTGCTGGGAGCAACTCGCCTGGCTGGTGGGGGTGCTGGGAGCAACTCGCTTGGCTGGTGGGGGTGCTGGGAGCAACTCGCCTGGCTGGTGGGGGTGCTGGGAGCAACTCACCTGGCTGGTGGGGGTGCTGGGAGCAACTCACCTGGCTGTTGGGGGTGCTGGGAGCAACTCACCTGGCTGGTGGGGTTGCTGGGAGCAACTCACCTGGCTGGTGGGGGTGCTGGGAGAAACTCACCTGGCTGGTGGGGGTGCTGGGAGCAACTCACCTGGCTGGTGGGGGTGCTGGGAGAAACTCGCCTGGCTGGTGGGGGTGCTGGGAGCAACTCGCCTGGCTAGTGGGGGTGCTGGGAGCAACTCGCCTGGCTGGTGGGGGTGCTGGGAGCAACTCGCCATGCTGGTGGGGGTGCTGGAGGCAACTCACCTGGCTGGTGGGGGTGCTGGGAGCAACTCACCTGGCTGGTGGGGGTGCTGGGAGCAACTCACCTGGCTGGTGAGGATGCTAGGAGCAACTCGCCTGGCTAGTGGGGGTGCTGGGAGGAACTCACCTGGCTGGTGGAGTGATGGGAGCAACTCGATTGGCTGGTGGGGGTGCTGGGAGCAACTCGCCTGGCTGGTGGGGGTGCTGGGAGCAACTGGCTTGGCTGGTGGGGGTGCTGGGAGCAACTCGCCTGGCTGGTGGGGGTGCTGGGAGCAACTCACCTGGCTGGTGGGGGTGCTGGGAACAACTCACCTGGCTAGTGGGGGTGCTGGGAGCAACTCGCCTGGCTGGTGGGGGTGTTGGGAGCAACTCGCGTGGCTGGTGGGGGTGCTGGGAGCAACTCGCTTGGCTGGTGGGGGTGCTGGGAGCAACTCGCCTGGCTGGTGGGGATGCTAGGAGCAACTCACCTGGCTGGTGGGGGTGCTGAGAGCAACTCGCCTGGCTAGTGGGGGTGCTGGGAGCAACTCGCCTGTCTGGTGGGGGTGCTGAGAGCAACTCGCCTGGCTGGTGGGGGTGCTGGGAGCAACTCACTTGGCTAGTGGGGGTGCTGGGAGCAACTCGCCTGGCTGGTGGGGGTGCAGGGAGCAACTCACCTGGCTGGTGGGGGTGCTGGGAGCAACTCGCCTGGCTGGTGGGGGTGCTGGAAGCAACTCACCTGGCTGGTGGGGGTGCTGGGAGGAACTCGCCTGGCTGGTGGGGGTGCTGGGAGCAACTCGCCTGGCTGGTGGGGGTGCTGGGAGCAAATCGCCTGGCTGGTGGGGGTGCTGGGAGCAACTCGCCTGGCTGGTGGGGGTGCTGACAGCAACTCGCCTGGCTGGTGGGGGTGCTGGGAGCAACTCGCCTGGCTGGTGGGGGTGCTCGGAGCAACTCACCTGGCTGGTGGGGGTGCTGGGAGCAACTCACCTGGCTGGTGGGGGTGCTGGGAGCAACTCACCTGGCTGGTGAGGATGCTAGGAGCAACTCGCCTGGCTAGTGGGGGTGCTGGGAGCAACTCACCTGGCTGATGGGGGTGCTGGGAGCAACTCACTTGGCCGGTGGGGGTGCTGGGAGCAACTCGCTTGGCTGGTGGGGGTGCTGGGAGCAACTCGCCTGGCTGGTAGGAATGCTGGGAGCAACTCGCCTGGCCGGTGGGGGTGCTGGGAGCAACTCGCCTGGCCGGTGGGGGTGCTGGGAGCAACTCACTTGGCTGGTGGGGGTGCTGGGAGCAACTCACCTGGCTGGTGGGGGTGCTGGGAGCAACTCACCTGGCTGGTGGGGGTGCTGGGAGCAAATCACCTGGCTGGTGGGGGTGCTAGGAGCAACTCACCTGGCTGGTGGGGGTGCTGGGAGCAACTCCCCTAGCTGGTGGGGGTGCTGGGAGCAACTCACCTGGCTGGTGGGGGTGCTGGGAGCAACTCACCTGGCTGGTGGGGGTGCTGGGAGCAACTCGCCTGGCTGGTGGGGGTGCTGGGAGCAACTCACCTGGCCGGTGGGGGTGCTGGGAGCAACTCACCTGGCTGGTCAGGGTGCTGGGAGCAACTCACCTGGCTGGTGGGGATGCTGGGAGCAACTCACTTGGCTGGTGGGGGTGCTAGGAGCAACTCACCTGGCTGGTGGGGGTGCTGGGAGCAACTCACCTGGTTGGTAGGGGTGCTGGGAGCAACTCACCTGGCTGGTAGGGGTGCTGGGAGCAACTCACCTGGCTGGTGGGGGTGCTGGGAGCAACTCAACTGGCTGGTGGGGGTGCTGGAAGCAACTCAACTGGTTGGTGTGGGTGCTGGGAGCAACTCAACTGGCTGGTGGGGGTGCTGGGAGCAACTCGCCTGGCTGGTGGGGGTGCTGGGAGCAACTCGCCTGGCTGGTGAGGGTGCTGGGAGCAACTCGCCTGGCTGGTGGGGGTGCTGGGAGCAACTCGCCTGGCTGGTGGGGGTGCTGGGAGCAACTCGCCTGGCTGGTGGGGGTGCAAGGAGCAACTCGCTTGGCTAGTGGGGGTGCTGGGAGCAACTCACCTGGCTGGTCGGGGTGCTCGGAGCAACTCGCCTGGCTGGTGGGGGTGCTGGGAGAAACTCGCCTGGCTGGTGGGGGTGCTGGGAGCAACTCACCTGTTTGGTAGGGTTGCTGGGAGCAACTTACCTGGCTGGTGGGGGTGCTGGGAGCAACTCACCTGGCTGGTGGGGGTGCTGGGAGCAACTCGCCTGGCTGGTGGGGGTGCTGGGAGCAACTCGCCTGGCTGGTGGGGATGCTATGAGCAACTCACCTGGCTGGTGGGAGTGCTGGGAGCAACTCGCCTGGCTGGCGGGGGTGCTGGGAGCAACTCGCCTCGCTGGTGGGGGTGCTGGGAGCAACTCGCCTGGCTAGTGGGGGTGCTGGGAGCAACTCACCTGGCTGGTGGGGGTGCTGGGAGCAACTCACCTGGCTGGTGGGGGTGCTGGGAGCAACTCACCTGGCTGGTGAAGGTGCTGGGAGCAACTCACCTGGCTGGTGGGGGTGCTGGGAGCAACTCACCTGGCTGGTGGGGGTGCTAGGAGCAACTCACCTGGCTGGTGGGGATGCTGGGAGCAACTCGCCTGGCTGGTGGGGGTGCTGGGAGCAACTCGCCTGGCTGGAGGGGGTGCTGGGAGCAACTCGCCTGGCTGGTGGGGATGCTATGAGCAACTCACCTGGCTGGTGGGAGTGCTGGGAGCAACTCGCCTGGTAGGCGGGGGTGCTGGGAGCAACTCGCCTCGCTGGTGGGGGTGCAGGGAGCAACTCGCCTGGCTAGTGGGGGTGCTGGGAGCAACTCACCTGGCTGGTGGGGGTGCTGGGAGCAACTCACCTGGCTGGTGTGGGTGCTGGGAGCAACTCACCTGGCTGGTGAAGGTGCTGGGAGCAACTCACCTGGCTGGTGGGGGTGCTGGGAGCAACTCACCTGGCTGGTGGGGGTGCTAGGAGCAACTCACCTGGCTGGTGGGGATGCTGGGAGCAACTCGCCTGGCTGGTGGGGGTGCTGGGAGCAACTCGCCTGGCTGGAGGGGGTGCTGGGAGCAACTCGCCTGGCTGGTGGGGATGCTATGAGCAACTCACCTGGCTGGTGGGAGTGCTGGGAGCAACTCGCCTGGCTGGCGGGGGTGCTGGGAGCAACTCGCCTCGCTGGTGGGGGTGCTGGGAGCAACTCGCCTGGCTAGTGGGGGTGCTGGGAGCAACTCACCTGGCTGGTGGGGGTGCTGGGAGCAACTCACCTGGCTGGTGGGGGTGCTGGGAGCAACTCACCTGGCTGGTGAAAGTGCTGGGAGCAACTCACCTGGCTGGTGGGGGTGCTGGGAGCAACTCACCTGGCTGGTGGGGGTGCTAGGAGCAACTCACCTGGCTGGTGGGGATGCTGGTAGCAACTCGCCTGGCTGGTGGGGGTGCTGGGAGCAACTCGCCTGGCTGGTGGGGGTGCTGGGAGCAACTGACCTGGCTGGTGGGGGTGCCGGGAGCAACTCACCTGGCTGGTGGGGGTACTGGGAGCAACTCACCTAGCTGGTGGGGGTGCTGGGAGCAACTCACCTGGCTGGTGGGGGTGCTTGGAGCAACTCACCTGGCTGGTGGGGGTGCTGGGAGCAAATCAACTGGCTGGTGGGGGTGCTGGGAGCAACTCAACTGGCTGGTGGGGGTGCTGGGAGCAACTCGCCTGGCTGGTGGGGGCGCTGGGAGCAACTCGCCTGGCTGGTGGGAGTGCTGGGAGCAACTCACCTGGCTGGTGGGGGTGCTGGGAGCAACTCACCTGGCTGGTGGGGGTGCTGGGAGCAACTCAACTGGCTGGTGGGGGTGCTGGAAGCAACTCAACTGGTTGGTGTGGGTGCTGGGAGCAACTCAACTGGCTGGTGGGGGTGGTGGGAGCAACTCGCCTGGCTGGTGAGGGTGCTGGGAGCAACTCTCCTGGCTGGTGGGGGTGCTGGGAGCAACTCGCCTAGCTGGTGGGGGTGCTGGGAGCAACTCGCCTGGCTGGTGGGGATGCTGGGAGCAACTCGCCTGGCTGGTGGGGGTGCTGGGAGCAACTCGCCTGGCCGGTGGGGGTGCTGGGAGCAACTCACCTGGCTGGTGGGGGAGCTGGGAGCAACTCACCTGGCTGGTGGGGGTGCTGGGACCAACTCACCTGGTTGGAGGGGATGCTAGGAGCAACTCGCCTGGCTGGTGGGGTTGCTGGGAACAACTCACCTGGCTGGTGGGGGTGCTGGGAGCAACTCACCTGGCTGGTGGGGGTGTTGGGAGCAACTCACTTGGCTGGTGGGGGTGCTGGGAGCAACTCACCTGGCTGGTGGGGGTGCTGGGAGCAACTCAACTGGCTGGTGGGGGTGCTGGGAGCAACTCGCCTGGCTGGTGGGGGCGCTGGGAGCAACTCGCCTGGCTGGTGGGAGTGCTGGGAGCAACTCACCTGGCTGGTGGGGGTGCTGGGAGCAACTCACCTGGCTGGTGGGGGTGCTGGGAGCAACTCAACTGGCTGGTGGGGGTGCTGGAAGCAACTCAACTGGTTGGTGTGGGTGCTGGGAGCAACTCAACTGGCTGGTGGGGGTGCTGGGAGCAACTCGCCTGGCTGGTGGGGGTGCTGGGAGCAACTCGCCTGGCTGGTGAGGGTGCTGGGAGCAACTCTCCTGGCTGGTGGGGGTGCTGGGAGCAACTCGCCTGGCTGGTGGGGGTGCTGGGAGCAACTCGCCTGGCTGGTGGGGGTGCTGGGAGCAACTCGCCTGGCTGGTGGGGGTGCTGGGAGCAACTCGCCTGGCCGGTGGGGGTGCTGGGAGCAACTCACCTGGCTGGTGGGGGAGCTGGGAGCAACTCACCTGGCTGGTGGGGGTGCTGGGAGCAACTCACCTGGTTGGAGGGGATGCTAGGAGCAACTCACCTGGCTGGTGGGGGTGCTAGGAGCAACTCACCTGGCTGGTGGGGATGCTGGGAGCAACTCGCCTGGCTGGTGGGGGTGCTGGGAGCAACTCGCCTGGCTGGAGGGGGTGCTGGGAGCAACTCGCCTGGCTGGTGGGGATGCTATGAGCAACTCACCTGGCTGGTGGGAGTGCAGGGAGCAACTCGCCTGGCTGGCGGGGGTGCTGGGAGCAACTCGCCTCGCTGGTGGGGGTGCTGGGAGCAACTCGCCTGGCTAGTGGGGGTGCTGGGAGCAACTCACCTGGCTGGTGGGGGTGCTGGGAGCAACTCACCTGGCTGGTGGGGGTGCTGGGAGCAACTCACCTGGCTGGTGAAGGTGCTGGGAGCAACTCACCTGGCTGGTGGGGGTGCTGGGAGCAACTCACCTGGCTGGTGGGGGTGCTAGGAGCAACTCACCTGGCTGGTGGGGATGCTGGTAGCAACTCGCCTGGCTGGTGGGGGTGCTGGGAGCAACTCGCCTGGCTGGTGGGGGTGCTGGGAGCAACTGACCTGGCTGGTGGGGGTGCCGGGAGCAACTCACCTGGCTGGTGGGGGTACTGGGAGCAACTCACCTAGCTGGTGGGGGTGCTGGGAGCAACTCACCTGGCTGGTGGGGGTGCTGGGAGCAACTCACCTGGCTGGTGGGGATGCTGGGAGCAACTCGCCTGGCTGGTGGGGGTGCTGGGAGCAACTCGCCTGGCTGGAGGGGGTGCTGGGAGCAACTCGCCTGGCTGGTGGGGATGCTATGAGCAACTCACCTGGCTGGTGGGAGTGCTGGGAGCAACTCGCCTGGCTGGCGGGGGTGCTGGGAGCAACTCGCCTCGCTGGTGGGGGTGCTGGGAGCAACTCGCCTGGCTAGTGGGGGTGCTGGGAGCAACTCACCTGGCTGGTGGGGGTGCTGGGAGCAACTCACCTGGCTGGTGGGGGTGCTGGGAGCAACTCACCTGGCTGGTGAAGGTGCTGGGAGCAACTCACCTGGCTAGTGGGGGTGCTGGGAGCAACTCACCTGGCTGGTGGGGGTGCTAGGAGCAACTCACCTGGCTGGTGGGGATGCTGGTAGCAACTCGCCTGGCTGGTGGGGGTGCTGGGAGCAACTCGCCTGGCTGGTGGGGGTGCTGGGAGCAACTGACCTGGCTGGTGGGGGTGCCGGGAGCAACTCACCTGGCTGGTGGGGGTACTGGGAGCAACTCACCTAGCTGGTGGGGGTGCTGGGAGCAACTCACCTGGCTGGTGGGGGTGCTTGGAGCAACTCACCTGGCTGGTGGGGGTGCTGGGAGCAAATCAACTGGCTGGTGGGGGTGCTGGGAGCAACTCAACTGGCTGGTGGGGGTGCTGGGAGCAACTCGCCTGGCTGGTGGGGGCGCTGGGAGCAACTCGCCTGGCTGGTGGGAGTGCTGGGAGCAACTCACCTGGCTGGTGGGGGTGCTGGGAGCAACTCACCTGGCTGGTGGGGGTGCTGGGAGCAACTCAACTGGCTGGTGGGGGTGCTAGAAGCAACTCAACTGGTTGGTGTGGGTGCTGGGAGCAACTCAACTGGCTGGTGGGGGTGCTGGGAGCAACTCGCCTGGCTGGTGAGGGTGCTGGGAGCAACTCTCCTGGCTGGTGGGGGTGCTGGGAGCAACTCGCCTAGCTGGTGGGGGTGCTGGGAGCAACTCGCCTGGCTGGTGGGGATGCTGGGAGCAACTCGCCTGGCTGGTGGGGGTGCTGGGAGCAACTCGCCTGGCCGGTGGGGGTGCTGGGAGCAACTCACCTGGCTGGTGGGGGAGCTGGGAGCAACTCACCTGGCTGGTGGGGGTGCTGGGAGCAACTCACCTGGTTGGAGGGGATGCTAGGAGCAACTCGCCTGGCTGGTGGGGTTGCTGGGAACAACTCACCTGGCTGGTGGGGGTGCTGGGAGCAACTCACCTGGCTGGTGGGGGTGTTGGGAGCAACTCACTTGGCTGGTGGGGGTGCTGGGAGCAACTCACCTGGCTGGTGGGGGTGCTGGGAGCAACTCAACTGGCTGGTGGGGGTGCTGGGAGCAACTCGCCTGGCTGGTGGGGGCGCTGGGAGCAACTCGCCTGGCTGGTGGGAGTGCTGGGAGCAACTCACCTGGCTGGTGGGGGTGCTGGGAGCAACTCACCTGGCTGGTGGGGGTGCTGGGAGCAACTCAACTGGCTGGTGGGGGTGCTGGAAGCAACTCAACTGGTTGGTGTGGGTGCTGGGAGCAACTCAACTGGCAGGTGGGGGTGCTGGGAGCAACTCGCCTGGCTGGTGGGGGTGCTGGGAGCAACTCGCCTGGCTGGTGAGGGTGCTGGGAGCAACTCTCCTGGCTGGTGGGGGTGCTGGGAGCAACTCGCCTGGCTGGTGGGGGTGCTGGGAGCAACTCGCCTGGCTGGTGGGGGTGCTGGGAGCAACTTGCCTGGCTGGTGGGGGTGCTGGGAGCAACTCGCCTGGCCGGTGGGGGTGCTGGGAGCAACTCACCTGGCTGGTGGGGGAGCTGGGAGCAACTCACCTGGCTGGTGGGGGTGCTGGGAGCAACTCACCTGGTTGGAGGGGATGCTAGGAGCAACTCGCCTGGCTGGTGGGGTTGCTGGGAACAACTCACCTGGCTGGTGGGGGTGCTGGGAGCAACTCACCTGGCTGGTGGGGGTGTTGGGAGCAACTCACTTGGCTGGTGGGGGTGCTGGGAGCAACTCAACTGGCTGGTGGGGGTGCTAGGAGCAACTCGCCTGGCTGGTGGGGGCGCTGGGAGCAACTCGCCTGGCTGGTGGGAGTGCTGGGAGCAACTCACCTGGCTGGTGGGGGTGCTGGGAGCAACTCACCTGGCTGGTGGGGGTGCTGGGAGCAACTCAACTGGCTGGTGGGGGTGCTGGAAGCAACTCAACTGGTTGGTGTGGGTGCTGGGAGCAACTCAACTTGCTGGTGGGGGTGCTGGGAGCAACTCGCCTGGCTGGTGGGGGTGCTGGGAGCAACTCGCCTGGCCGGTGGGGGTGCTGGGAGCAACTCACCTGGCTGGTGGGGGAGCTGGGAGCAACTCACCTGGCTGGTGGGGGTGCTGGGAGCAACTCACCTGGTTGGAGGGGATGCTAGGAGCAACTCGCCTGGCTGGTGGGGTTGCTGGGAACAACTCACCTGGCTGGTGGGGGTGCTGGGAGCAACTCACCTGGCTGGTGGGGGTGCTGGGAGCAACTCACCTGGCTGGTGGGGGTGTTGGGAGCAACTCACTTGGCTGGTGGGGGTGCTGGGAACAACTCACCTGGCTGGTGGGGGTGCTGGGAGCAACTCACCTGGCTGGTGGTGGTGCTGGGTGCAACTCACCTGGCTGGTGGGGGTGCTGGGAGCAACTCACCTAGCTGGTGGGGGTGCTGGGAGCAATTCACCTGGCTAGTAGGGGTGTTGGGAGTAACTCACCTGGCTGGTGGGGGTGCTGGGAGCAACTCGCCTGGCTGGTGGGGGTGCTGGGAGCAACTCGCCTGGCTGGTGGGGATGCTGGGAGCAACTCGCCTGGCTGGTGGGGGTGCTGGGAGCAACTCGCCTGGCCGGTGGGGGTGCTGGGAGCAACTCACCTGGCTGGTGGGGGAGCTGGGAGCAACTCACCTGGCTGGTGGGGGTGCTGGGAGCAACTCACCTGGCTGGTGGGGGTGCTTGGAGCAACTCACCTGGCTGGTGGGGGTGCTGGGAGCAAATCAACTGGCTGGTGGGGGTGCTGGGAGCAACTCAACTGGCTGGTGGGGGTGCTGGGAGCAACTCGCCTGGCTGGTGGGGGCGCTGGGAGCAACTCGCCTGGCTGGTGGGAGTGCTGGGAGCAACTCACCTGGCTGGTGGGGGTGCTGGGAGCAACTCACCTGGCTGGTGGGGGTGCTGGGAGCAACTCAACTGGCTGGTGGGGGTGCTGGAAGCAACTCAACTGGTTGGTGTGGGTGCTGGGAGCAACTCAACTGGCTGGTGGGGGTGCTGGGAGCAACTCGCCTGGCTGGTGAGGGTGCTGGGAGCAACTCTCCTGGCTGGTGGGGGTGCTGGGAGCAACTCACCTGGCTGGTGGGGGTGCTGGGAGCAACTCACCTGGTTGGAGGGGATGCTAGGAGCAACTCGCCTGGCTGGTGGGGTTGCTGGGAACAACTCACCTGGCTGGTGGGGGTGCTGGGAGCAACTCACCTGGCTGGTGGGGGTGTTGGGAGCAACTCACTTGGCTGGTGGGGGTGCTGGGAGCAACTCAACTGGCTGGTGGGGGTGCTAGGAGCAACTCGCCTGGCTGGTGGGGGCGCTGGGAGCAACTCGCCTGGCTGGTGGGAGTGCTGGGAGCAACTCACCTGGCTGGTGGGGGTGCTGGGAGCAACTCACCTGGCTGGTGGGGGTGCTGGGAGCAACTCAACTGGCTGGTGGGGGTGCTGGAAGCAACTCAACTGGTTGGTGTGGGTGCTGGGAGCAACTCAACTTGCTGGTGGGGGTGCTGGGAGCAACTCGCCTGGCTGGTGGGGGTGCTGGGAGCAACTCGCCTGGCCGGTGGGGGTGCTGGGAGCAACTCACCTGGCTGGTGGGGGAGCTGGGAGCAACTCACCTGGCTGGTGGGGGTGCTGGGAGCAACTCACCTGGTTGGAGGGGATGCTAGGAGCAACTCGCCTGGCTGGTGGGGTTGCTGGGAACAACTCACCTGGCTGGTGGGGGTGCTGGGAGCAACTCACCTGGCTCGTGGGGGTGCTGGGAGCAACTCACCTGGCTGGTGGGGGTGTTGGGAGCAACTCACTTGGCTGGTGGGGGTGCTGGGAACAACTCACCTGGCTGGTGGGGGTGCTGGGAGCAACTCACCTGGCTGGTGGTGGTGCTGGGTGCAACTCACCTGGCTGGTGGGGGTGCTGGGAGCAACTCACCTAGCTGGTGGGGGTGCTGGGAGCAATTCACCTGGCTAGTAGGGGTGTTGGGAGTAACTCACCTGGCTGGTGGGGGTGCTGGGAGCAACTCGCCTGGCTGGTGGGGGTGCTGGGAGCAACTCGCCTGGCTGGTGGGGATGCTGGGAGCAACTCGCCTGGCTGGTGGGGGTGCTGGGAGCAACTCGCCTGGCCGGTGGGGGTGCTGGGAGCAACTCACCTGGCTGGTGGGGGAGCTGGGAGCAACTCACCTGGCTGGTGGGGGTGCTGGGAGCAACTCACCTGGCTGGTGGGGGTGCTTGGAGCAACTCACCTGGCTGGTGGGGGTGCTGGGAGCAAATCAACTGGCTGGTGGGGGTGCTGGGAGCAACTCAACTGGCTGGTGGGGGTGCTGGGAGCAACTCGCCTGGCTGGTGGGGGCGCTGGGAGCAACTCGCCTGGCTGGTGGGAGTGCTGGGAGCAACTCACCTGGCTGGTGGGGGTGCTGGGAGCAACTCACCTGGCTGGTGGGGGTGCTGGGAGCAACTCAACTGGCTTGTGGGGGTGCTGGAAGCAACTCAACTGGTTGGTGTGGGTGCTGGGAGCAACTCAACTGGCTGGTGGGGGTGCTGGGAGCAACTCGCCTGGCTGGTGAGGGTGCTGGGAGCAACTCTCCTGGCTGGTGGGGGTGCTGGGAGCAACTCGCCTAGCTGGTGGGGGTGCTGGGAGCAACTCGCCTGGCTGGTGGGGATGCTGGGAGCAACTCGCCTGGCTGGTGGGGGTGCTGGGAGCAACTCGCCTGGCCGGTGGGGGTGCTGGGAGCAACTCACCTGGCTGGTGGGGGAGCTGGGAGCAACTCACCTGGCTGGTGGGGGTGCTGGGAGCAACTCACCTGGTTGGAGGGGATGCTAGGAGCAACTCGCCTGGCTAGTGGGGTTGCTGGGAACAACTCACCTGGCTGGTGGGGGTGCTGGGAGCAACTCACCTGGCTGGTGGGGGTGCTGGGAGCAACTCACCTGGCTGGTGGGGGTGTTGGGAGCAACTCACTTGGCTGGTGGGGGTGCTGGGAACAACTCACCTGGCTGGTGGGGGTGCTGGGAGCAACTCACCTGGCTGGTGGTGGTGCTGGGTGCAACTCACCTGGCTGGTGGGGGTGCTGGGAGCAACTCACCTAGCTGGTGGGGGTGCTGGGAGCAATTCACCTGGCTAGTAGGGGTGTTGGGAGTAACTCACCTGGCTGGTGGGGGTGCTGGGAGCAACTCGCCTGGCTGGTGGGGGTGCTGGGAGCAACTCGCCTGGCTGGTGGGGGTGCTGGGAGCAACTCGCCTGGCTAGTGGGGGCGCTCGGAGCAACTCGCCTTGCTGGTGGGGGCGCTGGGAGCAACTCGCCTGGCTGGTGGGGATGCTATGAGCAACTCGCCTTGCTGGTTGGGGTGCTGGGAGCAACTCGCCTAGCTGGTGGGGGTGCTGGGAGCAACTCGCCTGGCTGGTGGGGGTGCTTGGAGCAACTCGCCTGGCTGGTGGGGGTGCTGGGAGAAACTCTCCTGGCTGGTGGGGGTGCTGGTAGCAACTCGCCTGGCTGGTGGGGGTGCTGGGAGCAACTCGCCTGGCTGGTGGGGATGCTGGGAGCAACTCGCCTGGCTGGTGGGGGTGCTGGGAGCAACTCGCCTGGCCGGTGGGGGTGCTGGGAGCAACTCACCTGGCTGGTGGGGGAGCTGGGAGCAACTCACCTGGCTGGTGGGGGTGCTGGGAGCAACTCACCTGGTTGGAGGGGATGCTAGGAGCAACTCGCCTGGCTGGTGGGGTTGCTGGGAACAACTCACCTGGCTGGTGGGGGTGCTGGGAGCAACTCACCTGGCTGGTGGGGGTGTTGGGAGCAACTCACTTGGCTGGTGTGGGTGCTGGGAGCAACTCACCTGGCTGGTGGGGGTGCTGGGAGCAACTCACCTGGCTGGTGGGGGTGCTGGGAGCAACTCGCCTGGCTAGTGGTGGTTTAGATGGAAAGAGGGATAATGGGGCGGGGTGATGGAAAGATGGAGAATGGGGCGGGGTGATGGAAAGAGGGAGAATGGGGTGGGGTGATGGAAAGAGGGAGAATTGGGCGGGGTGATGGAAAGCGGGAGAATGGAGCGGGGTGATGGAAACCAGGAGAATGGGGCGGGGTGATGGAAAGCGGGAGAATGGGGCGGGGTGATGGAAAGAGGGAGAATGGGGCTGGGTGATGGAAAGAGGGAGAATGGGGCGGGGTGATGGAAGGCGGGAGAGTGGGGCGGGGTGATGGAAAGAGGGAGAATGGGGCGGGGTGATGGAAAGCGGGAGAATGGGGTGGGGTGATGGAAAAAGGGAGAATGGGGAGGGGTGATGGAAAGAGGGAGAATTGGGCGGGGTGATGGAAAGCGGGACAATGGAGCGGGATGATGGAAAGCGAGAGAATGGGGCGGGGTGATGGAAAGCGGGAGAATGGGGCTGGGTGATGGAAAGAGGGAAAATGGCGCGGGGTGATGGAAAGCGGGAGAATGGGGCGGGGTGATGGAAAGAGGGAGAATGGGGCGGGGTGATGGAAAGAGGGAGAATGGGGCGGGGTGATGGAAAGCGGGAGAATGGGGCGGGGTGACGGAAAGAGGGAGAATGGGGCGGGGTGATGGAAAGAGGGAGAATTAGGCGGGGTGATGGAAGGCGGGAGAGTGGGGCGGGGTGATGGAAAGAGGGAGAATGGGGCGGCGTGATGGAAAGAGGGAGAATGGGGCGGGGTGATGGAAAGTGGGAGAATGGGGCGGGGTGATGGAAATCGGAAGAATGGGGCGGGGTGATGGAAAGAGGGAGAATGGGGCGGGGTGATGGAAAGTGGGAGAATGGGGCGGGGTGATGGAAATCGGGAGAATGGGGCGGGGTGATGGAAAGAGGAAGAATGGGGCGGGGTGATGGAAAGAGGAAGAATGGGGCGGGGTGATGGAAAGCGGGAGAATGGGGCGGGATGATGGAAAGCGGGAGAATGGGGCGGGGTGATGGAAAGCGGGGGAACGGGGCGGGGTGCTGGAATTCGGGAGAATGGGGCGGGGTGATGGAAAGAGGGAGGATGGGGTGGGGTGATGGAAAGCAAAAGAATGGGGCGGGGTGATGGAAAGCGGGAGAATGGGACGGGGTGATGGAAAGCGAGAGAATTGGGCGGGGTGATGGATAGAGGGAGAATGGGGCAGGGTGATGGAAAGAGGGAGAATGGGGCGGGGTGATGGAAAGAGGGAGATTGGGGTGGGGTGATGGCAAGCGGGAGAATGGGGCGGGGTGATGGAAAGAGGGAGAATGGGGTGGGGTGATGGAAAGTGGGAGAATGGGGTAGGGTGACGGAAAGCGGTAGAATGGGGCGGGGTGATGGAAAGCGGGAGAATGGGGCGGGGTGATGGAAAGAGGGAGAATGGGGCGGGGTGATGGAAAGAGGGAGAATGGGGCGGGGTGATGGAAAGCGGGAGAATGGGGCGGGGTGATGGAAAAAGGGAGAATGGGGAGGGGTGATGGAAAGAGGGAGAATGGGGCTGGGTGATGGAAAGAGGGAGAATGGGGCGGGGTGATGGAAGGCGGGAGAGTGGGGCGGGGTGATGGAAAGAGGGAGAATGGGGCGGGGTGATGGAAAGCGGGAGAATGGGGTGGGGTGATGGAAAAAGGGAGAATGGGGAGGGGTGATGGAAAGAGGGAGAATTGGGCGGGGTGATGGAAAGCGGGACAATGGAGCGGGATGATGGAAAGCGAGAGAATGGGGCGGGGTGATGGAAAGCGGGAGAATGGGGCTGGGTGATGGAAAGAGGGAAAATGGCGCGGGGTGATGGAAAGCGGGAGAATGGGGCGGGGTGATGGAAAGAGGGAGAATGGGGCGGGGTGATGGAAAGAGGGAGAATGGGGCGGGGTGATGGAAAGCGGGAGAATGGGGCGGGGTGACGGAAAGAGGGAGAATGGGGCGGGGTGATGGAAAGAGGGACAATTAGGCGGGGTGATGGAAGGCGGGAGAGTGGGGCGGGGTGATGGAAAGAGGGAGAATGGGGCGGCGTGATGGAAAGAGGGAGAATGGGGCGGGGTGATGGAAAGTGGGAGAATGGGGCGGGGTGATGGAAATCGGAAGAATGGGGCGGGGTGATGGAAAGAGGGAGAATGGGGCGGGGTGATGGAAAGTGGGAGAATGGGGCGGGGTGATGGAAATCGGGAGAATGGGGCGGGGTGATGGAAAGAGGAAGAATGGGGCGGGGTGATGGAAAGAGGAAGAATGGGGCGGGGTGATGGAAAGCGGGAGAATGGGGCGGGATGATGGAAAGCGGGAGAATGGGGCGGGGTGATGGAAAGCGGGGGAACGGGGCGGGGTGCTGGAATTCGGGAGAATGGGGCGGGGTGATGGAAAGAGGGAGGATGGGGTGGGGTGATGGAAAGCAAAAGAATGGGGCGGGGTGATGGAAAGCGGGAGAATGGGACGGGGTGATGGAAAGCGAGAGAATTGGGCGGGGTGATGGATAGAGGGAGAATGGGGCAGGGTGATGGAAAGAGGGAGAATGGGGCGGGGTGATGGAAAGAGGGAGATTGGGGTGGGGTGATGGCAAGCGGGAGAATGGGGCGGGGTGATGGAAAGAGGGAGAATGGGGCGGGGTGATGGAAAGTGGGAGAATGGGGTAGGGTGACGGAAAGCGGTAGAATGGGGCGGGGTGATGGAAAGCGGGAGAATGGGGCGGGGTGATGGAAAGAGGGAGAATGGGGCGGGGTGATGGAAAGCGGGAGAATGGGGCGGGGTGATGGAAAGAGGGAGAATGGGGCTGGGTGATGGAAAGAGGGAGAATTGGGCGGGGTGATGGAAGGCGGGAGAGTGGGGCGGGGTGATGGAAAGAGGGAGAATGGGGCGGGGTGATGGAAAGCGGGAGAATGGGGCAGGGTAATGGAAAAAGGGAGAATGGGGAGGGGTGATGGAAAGAGGGAGAATTGGGCGGGGTGATGGAAAGCGGGACAATGGAGCAGGATGATGGAAAGCGAGAGAATGGGGCGGGGTGATGGAAAGCGGGAGAATGGGGCGGGGTGATGGAAAGCGGGAGAATGGGGCGGGGTGATGGAAAGAGGGAGAATGGGGCTGGGTGATGGAAAGAGGGAGAATTGGGCGGGGTGATGGAAGGCGGGAGAGTGGGGCGGGGTGATGGAAAGAGGGAGAATGGGGCGGGGTGATGGAAAGCGGGAGAATGGGGCGGGGTAATGGAAAAAGGGAGAATGGGGAGGGGTGATGGAAAGAGGGAGAATTGGGCGGGGTGATGGAAAGCGGGACAATGGAGCAGGATGATGGAAAGCGAGAGAATGGGGCGGGGTGATGGAAAGCGGGAGAATGGGGCGGGGTGATGGAAAGAGGGAAAATGGCGCGGGGTGATGGAAAGCGGGAGAATGGGGCGGGGTGATGGAAAGAGGGAGAATGGGGCGGGGTGATGGAAAGAGGGAGAATGGGGCGGGGTGATGGAAAGCGGGAGAATGGGGCGGGGTGATGGAAAGAGGGAGAATGGGGCTGGGTGATGGAAAGAGGGAGAATTGGGCGGGGTGATGGAAGGCGGGAGAGTGGGGCGGGGTGATGGAAAGAGGGAGAATGGGGCGGGGTGATGGAAAGCGGGAGAATGGGGCGGGGTAATGGAAAAAGGGAGAATGGGGAGGGGTGATGGAAAGAGGGAGAATTGGGCGGGGTGATGGAAAGCGGGACAATGGAGCGGGATGATGGAAAGCGAGAGAATGGGGCGGGGTGATGGAAAGCGGGAGAATGGGGCGGGGTGATGGAAAGAGGGAAAATGGCGCGGGGTGATGGAAAGCGGGAGAATGGGGCGGGGTGATGGAAAGAGGGAGAATGGGGCGGGGTGATGGAAAGAGGGAGAATGGGGCGGGGTGATGGAAAGCGGGAGAATGGGGCGGGGTGACGGAAAGAGGGAGAATGGGGCGGGGTGATGGAAAGAGGGAGAATTGGGCGGGGTGATGGAAGGCGGGAGAGTGGGGCGGGGTGATGGAAAGAGGGAGAATGGGGCGGCGTGATCGAAAGAGGGAGAATGGGGCGGGGTGATGGAAAGTGGGAGAATGGGGCGGGGTGATGGAAATCGGAAGAATGGGGCGGGGTGATGGAAAGAGGAAGAATGGGGCGGGGTGATGGAAAGAGGGAGAATGGGGCGGGGTGATGGAAAGCTGGAGAATGGGGCGGGATGATGGAAAGCGGGAGAATGGGGCGGGGTGATGGAAAGCGGGGGAACGGGGCGGGGTGATGGAAATCGGGAGAATGGGGCGGGGTGATGGAAAGAGGGAGGATGGGGTGGGGTGATGGAAAGCAAAAGAATGGGGCGGGGTGTGGAAAGCGGGAGAATGGGACAGGGTGATAGATAGAGGGAGAATGGGGCAGGGTGATGGGAAGAGGGAGAATGGGGCGGGGTGATGGAAAGCGGGAGAATGGGGCGGGGTGATGGAAAGAGGGAGAATGGGGCGGGCTGATGGAAAGAGGGAGAATGGGGCGGGGTGATGGAAAGCAGGAGAATGGGGAGGGGTGATGGTTATCGGGAGAATGGGGCGGGGTGATGGAAAGCGGGAGAATGGGGCGGGGTGATGGAAAGGGGGAGAATGGGGCGGGGTGATGGAAAGCGGGAGAACGGGGCGGGGTGATGGAAAGCGGGTGAACGGGGCGGGGTGATGGAAAGAGGGAGAATGGGGCGGGGTGATGGAAAGCGGGAGAATGTGGCAAGGTGATTGAAAGGGGGAGAATGGGGCGGGGTGATGGAAAGCGGGAGAACGGGGCGGGGTGATGGAAAGCGGGAGAACGGGGCGGGGTGATGGAAAGAGGGAGAATGGGGCGGGGTGATGGAAAGCGAGAGAATAGGGCGGGGTGATGGAAAGCGGGAGAATGGGGCGGGGTGATGGAAAGCGGGGGAATGGGGCGGGGTGATGGAAAGCGGGAGAATGGGGCGGGGTGATGGAAAGCGGGAGAATGGGGCGGGGTGATGGAAAGAGGGAGAATGGGGAGGGGTGATAGAAAGAGGGAGAATTGGGCGGGGTGATGGAAAGCGTGAGAATGGGGTGGGGTGATGGAAAGTGGGAGAATGGGGCGGGGTGATGGAAAGAGGGAGAATGGGGCGGGGTGATGGAAAGCGGGAGAACGGGGTGGGGTGATGGAAAGAGGGAGAATGGGACGGGGTGATGGAAAGCGAGAGAATGGAGCGGGGTGATGGAAAGCGGGAGAATCGGGCGGGGTGATGGAAAGCGGGAGAATGGAGCGGGGTGATGGAAAGAGGGAGAATGGGGCGGGGTGATGGAAGGCGGGAGAACGGGGCAGGGTGATGGAAAGAGGGAGAATGGGGCGGGGTGATGGAAAGAGGGAGAATGGGGCGGGGTGATGGAAAGCGGGAGATTGGGGCGGGGTGATGGAAAGAGGGAGACTGGGGCGGGGTGATGGAAAGCGGGAGAATGGGGCGGGGTGATGGAAAGAGGGAGAATGGGGCGGGGTGATGAGAAGAGAGAGAACGGGGTGATGGAAAGCTGGAGAATGGGGCGGGATGATGGAAAGCGGGAGAATGGGGCGGGTTGATGGAAAGCGGGAGAATGGGGCGGGGTGATGGAAAGCGGGAGAATGGGGCGGGGTGATGGAAAGCGGGAGAATGGGGCGGGGTGATAGAAAGCGGGAGAATGGGGCGGGGTGATAGAAAAAGGGAGAAAGGGGAGGGGTGATAGAAAGAGGGAGAATTGGGCGGGGTGATGGAAAGCGGGAGAATGGGGAGGGGTGATAGAAAGAGGGAGAATGGGGCGGGGTGATGGAAAGCGGGAGAATGGGGCGGGGTGATGGAAAGAGGGAAAATGGGGCGGGGTGATGGAAAGCGGGAGAATGGGGCGGGGTGATGGAAAGAGGGAGAATGGGGCGGGGTGATGGAAAGCGGGAGAATGGGGCGGGGTGATAGAAAGCGGGAGAATGGGGCGGGGTGATGAAAAGAGGGAGAATGGGGCTGGGTGATGGAAGGCGGGAGAATGGGGCGGGGTGATGGAAAGATGGAGAGTAGGGCGCGGTAATGGAAAGCGGGAGAATAAGGCGGGGTGATGGAAAGAGGGAGAATGGGGCGGGGTGATGGAAAGAGGGAGAATGGGGCGGGGTGATGGAAAGCGAGAGAATGGGGTGGGGTGATGGAAAGAGGGTGAATGGGGCGGGGTGATGGAAAGAGGGAGAATGGGGGGGGTGATGGAAAGAGGGAGAATGGGGTGGGGTGATGGAAAACGGGGGAATGGGGCGGGGTGATGGAAACAGGGAGAAAGGGGCGGGGTGGTGGAAAGAGGGAGAATGGGGCAGGGTGATGGAAAGCGGGAGAATGGGGCGGGGTGATGGAAAGAGGGAGAATGGGGCGGGGTGATGGAAAGCGGGAGAATGGGGCGGGGTGATGGAAAGAGGGAGAATTGGGAGGGGTGATGGAAAGAGGGAGAATTGGGCGGGGTGATGGAAAGGGGGAGAATGGAGCGGGATGATGGAAAGCGGGAGAATGGGGCGCGGTGATAGAAAGCGGGAGAATGGGGCAGGGTGATGGAAAGAGGGAGAATGGGGCGGGGTGATGGAAAGAGGGAGAATGGGGAGGGGTGATGGAAAATGGGAGAATGGGGCGGGGTGATTGAAAGCAGGAGAATGGGGCGGGGTGATGGAAAGGGGGAGAATGGGGTGGGGTGATGGAAAGCGGGAGAACGGGGCGGGATGATGGAAACAGGGAGAATGGGGCGGGGTGATGGAAAGCGGGAGAATGGGGCGGGGTGATGGAAACAGGGAGAATGGGGCGGGGTGATGGAAACAGGGAGAATAGGGCAGGGTGATGGAAAGAGGGAGAATGTGGCGGGGTGATGGAAAGAGGGAGAATAAGGCGGGGTGATGGAAAGAGGGAGAATGGGGCGGGGTGATGGAAAGAGGGAGAATGGGGCGGGGTGATGGAAAGAGGGAGAATGGGGAGGGGTGATGGAAGGAGGGAGAATTGGGCGGGGTGATGGAAAGCGGGAGAATGGAGTGGGGTGATGGAAAGCTGGAGAATGGGGTTGGGTGATGGAAAGCGGGAGAATGGGGCGGGGTGATGGAAAGCGGGAGAATGGGGCGGGGTGATGGAAAGCGGGAGAATGGGGCGGGGTGTTGGAAAGCGGGAGAATGGAGCGGGGTGATGGAAAGAGGGAGAACAGGGCGGGGTGATGGAAAGCGGGAGAATGGGGCGGGGTGATGGAAAGCGGGAGAATGGGGCGGGGTGATAGAAAGCGGGAGAATGGGGCGGGGTGATGGAAAGCGGGAGAATAGGGCGGGGTGATGGAAAGCAAGAGAATGGGGCAAGGTTGATGGAAAGCGGGAGAATGGGACAGGGTGATGGAAAGTGGGAGAATGTGGCGGGGTGATGGATAGAGGGAGAATGGGGCGGGGGTGATGGAAAGCGGGAGAATGGAGCGGGGTGATGGAAAGCTGGAGAATGGGGCGGAGTGATGGAAAGCGGGAGAATGGGGCGGGGTTATGGAAAGAGGAAGAATGGGGCTGGGTGATGGAAAGCGGGAGAGTGGGGCGGGGTGATGGAAAGCGGGAGAATGTGGCGCGGTGATGGAAAGAGGGAAAATGGGGCGGGGTGATGGAAAGCGGGAGAATGGGGCGGGGTGATGGAAAGAGGGAGAATAGGGCGGGGTGATGGAAAGCGGGAGAATGGGGCAGGGTGATGGAAAGCGGGAGAATGGGGCTGGGTAATAGAAAGCGGGAGAATAGGGCGGGGTGATGGAAAGCGGGAGAATGGGGCGTGGTGATGGAAAGCAAGAGAATGGGGCGGGTGATCGAAAGCGGGAGAATGGGGCGGGGTGATGGATAGAGGGAGAATGGGGCGGGGTGATGGAAAGAGGGAGAATGGGGCGGGGTGATGGAAAGCGGGAGAATGGGGCGGGGTGATTGAAAGCGGGAGAACAGGGCCGGGTGATGGAAAGAGGGAGAATGGGGCGGGGTGATGGAAAGAGGGAGAATGGGGAGGGGTGATGGAAAACGGGAGAATGGGGCGGGATGATAGAGAGCAGGAGACTGGGGCGGGGTGATGGAAAGGGGGAGAATGGGGCAGGGTGATGGAATGCGGGAGAACGAAGCGGGGTGATGGAAAGCGGTAGAACGGGGCGAGGTGATAGAAAGCGGGAGAACGGGGCGGGGTAATGGAAAGTGGGAGAACGGGGCGGGGTGATGGAAAGCGGGAGAATGGGGCGGGGTGATGGAAAGCGGGAGAATGGGGCGAAGTAAGGGAAAGCGGGAGACTGGGGCAGGGTGATGGAAAGCGGGAGAATGGGGCGGGGTGATGGAAAGCGGGAGAATGGGGCGGGGTGATAGAAAGTGGGAGAATGGGGCGGGGTGATGGAAAGCGGGAGAATGGGGCGGGGTGATGGAAAGCAAGAGAATAGGGCAAGGTGATGGAAAGCGGGAGAATGGGACAGGGTGATGGAAAGCGGGAGAATGGGGCGGGGTGATGGATAGAGGGAGAATGGGGCGGGGTGATGGAAAGAGGGAGAATGGGGCGGGGGTGATGGAAAGCGGTAGAATGGGGCAGGGTGATGGAATGCGGGAGAACGAAGCGGGGTGATGGAAAGCGGGAGAACGGGGCGAGGTGATAGAAAGCGGGAGAACGGGGCGGGGTAATGGAAAGTGGGAGAACGGGGCGGGGTGATGGAAAGCGGGAGAATGGGGCGGGGTGATGGAAAGCGGGAGAATGGGGCGAAGTAAGGGAAAGCGGGAGACTGGGGCGGGGATATGGAAAGCGGGAGAATGGGGCGGGGTGATGGAAAGCGGGAGAATGGGGCGGGGTGATAGAAAGCGGGAGAATGGGGCGGGGTGATGGAAAGCGGGAGAATAGGGCGGGGTGATGGAAAGCAAGAGAATGGGGCAAGGTGATGGAAAGCGGGAGAATGGGACAGGGTGATGGAAAGCGGGAGAATGGGGCGGGGTGATGGATAGAGGGAGAATGGGGCGGGGGTGATGGAAAGCGGGAGAATGGAGCGGGGTGATGGAAAGCTGGAGAATGGGGCAGAGTGATGGAAAGCGGGAGAATGGGGCGGGGTTATGGAAAGAGGAAGAATGGGACTGGGTGATGGAAAGCGGGAGAGTGGGGCGGGGTGATGGAAAGCGGGAGAATGTGGCGCGGTGATGGAAAGAGGGAAAATGGCGCGGGGTGATGGAAAGCGGGAGAATGGGGCGGGGTGATGGAAAGAGGGAGAATGGGGCGGGGTGATGGAAAGAGGGAGAATGGGGCGGGGTGATGGAAAGCGGGAGAATGGGTCAGGGTGAAGGAAAGAGGGAGAATGGGGCGGGGTGATCGAAAGAGGGAGAATGGGGCGGGGTGACGGAAATCGGGAGAATGGGGCGGGGTGATAGAAAGAGGAAGAATTGGGCGGGGTGATGGATAGAGGGAGAATGGGGCGGGGTGATGGAAAGAGGGAGAATGGGGCGGGGTGATGGAAAGAGGGAGAATGGGGCGGGGTGATGGAAAGCGGGAGAATGGGGCGGGGTGATGGAAAGCGGGAGAATGGGGCGGGGTGATGGACAGCGGGAGAATGGGGAGGGGTGATGGAAAGCAGGAGAATGGGGCGGGTTGATGGAAAGAGGGAGAATGGGGCGGGGTGATGGAAAGCGGGAGAATGGGGCAGGGTGATGGAAAGCGGGAGAATGGGGCGGGGTGATGGAATGCGGGAGAATGGGGCGGGGTGATGGAAAGAGGGAGAATGGGGAGAGGTGATGGAAAGAGGGAGAATTGGGCGGGTTGATGGAAAGCGGGAGAATGGAGCGGGGTGATGGAAAGCGGGAGAATGGGGCGGGGTGATGGAAAGCGGGAGAATGGGGCGGGGTGATGGAAAGAGGGAAAATGGGGCGTGGTGATGGAAAGCGGGAGAATGGGGTGGTGTGATGGAAAGCGGGAGAATGGGGCGGGGTGATGGAAAGAGGGAGAATGGGGCGGGGTGATGGAAAGCGGGAGAATGGGGCGGGGTGATGGAAAGAGGGAGAATGGGGCAGGGTGATGGAAGGCGGGAGAATGGGGCGGGGTGATGCAAATCGGGAGAATGGGGCGGGGTGATGCAAATCGGGAGAATGGGGTGGGGTGATGGAAAAAGGGAGAATGGGGCGGGGTGATGGAAAGCGGGAGAATGGGGCGGGGTGATGGAAAGCGGGAGAATGGGGCGGGGCGATGGAAAGCGGGAGAACGAGGCGGGGTGATGGAAAGCGGGAGAATGGGGCAGGGTGATGGAAAGCGGGAGAATGGGGCGGGGTGATAGAAAGCGGGAGAATGGGGCGGGGTGATGGAAAGCGGGAGAATAGGGCGGGGTGATGGAAAGCAAGAGAATGGGGCAAGGTGATGGAAAGCGTGAGAATGGGACAGGGTGATGGAAAGCGGGAGAATGGGGCGGGGTGATGGATAGAGGGAGAATGGGGCGGGGGTGATGGAAAGCGGGAGAATGGAGCGGGGTGATGGAAAGCTGGAGAATGGGGCGGAGTGATGGAAAGCGGGAGAAGGGGGCGGGGTTATGGAAAGAGGAAGAATGGGACTGGGTGATGGAAAGCGGGAGAGTGGGGCGGGATGATGGAAAGCGGGAGAATGTGGCGCGGTGATGGAAAGGGGGAAAATGGTGCGGGGTGATGGAAAGCGGGAGAATGGGGCGGGGTGATGGAAAGAGGGAGAATGGGGCGGGGTGATGGAAAGAGGGAGAATGGGGCGGGGTGATGGAAAGCGGGAGAATGGGTCAGGGTGAAGGAAAGAGGGAGAATGGGGCGGGGTGATCGAAAGAGGGAGAATGGGGCGGGGTGACGGAAATCGGGAGAATGGGGCGGGGTGATGGAAAGAGGAAGAATTGGGCGGGGTGATGGATAGAGGGAGAATGGGGCGGGGTGATGGAAAGAGGGAGAATGGGGCGGGGTGATGGAAAGAGGGAGAATGGGGCGGGGTGATGGAAAGCGGGAGAATGGGGCGGGGTGATGGAAAGCGGGAGAATGGGGTGGGGTGATGGACAGCGGGAGAATGGGGAGGGGTGATGGAAAGCAGGAGAATAGGGCGGGGTGATGGAAAGAGGGAGAATGGGGCGGGGTGATGGAAAGCGGGAGAATGGGGCGGGGTGATGGAAAGCGGGAGAATGGGGCGGGGTGATGGAATGCGGGAGAATGGGGCGGGGTGATGGAAAGAGGGAGAATGGGGAGAGGTGATGGAAAGAGGGAGAATTGGGCGGGTTGATGGAAAGCGGGAGAATGGAGCGGGGTGATGGAAAGCGGGAGAATGGGGCGGGGTGATGGAAAGCGGGAGAATGGGGCGGGGTGATGGAAAGAGGGAAAATGGGGCGTGGTGATGGAAAGCGGGAGAATGGGGTGGTGTGATGGAAAGCGGGAGAATGGGGCGGGGTGATGGAAAGAGGGAGAATGGGGCGGGGTGATGGAAAGCGGGAGAATGGGGCGGGGTGATGGAAAGAGGGAGAATGGGGCAGGGTGATGGAAGGCGGGAGAATGGGGCGGGGTGATGCAAATCGGGAGAATGGGGTGGGGTGATGGAAAGAGGGAGAATGGGGCGGGGTGATGGAAAGCGGGAGAATGGGGCGGGGTGATGGAAAGCGGGAGAATGGGGCGGGGCGATGGAAAGCGGGAGAACGGGGCGGGGTGATGGAAAGCGGGAGAATGGGGCGGGGTGATGGAAAGAGGGAGAATGGGGCGGGGTGATGGAAAGCGGGAGAATGGGGCGGGGTGATGGAAAGCGGGAGAATGGGGCAGGGTGATGGAAAGCGGGAGAATGGGGCGGGGTGATGGAAAGCAGGAGAATGGGGCGGGGTGATGGAAAGCGGGAGAATGGGGCGGGGTGATGGAAAGTGGGAGAATAGGGAGGGTTGATGGAAAAAGGGAGAATTGGGCGGGGTGATGGAAAGCGGGAGAATGGGGCGGGGTGATGGAAAGTGGTAGAATGGGGCGGGGTGATGGATAGAGGGAGAATGGGGCGGGGTGATGGAAAGCGGGAGAATGGGGCGGGGTGAGGGAAAGAGGGAGAATGGGGCGGGGTGATGGAAAGAGGGAGAATGGGGCGGGGTGATGGAAAGCGGGAGAATGGGGCGGGGTGATGGAAAGAGGGAGAATGGGGCAGGGTGATGGAGAGCAGGAGAATAGGGCAAGGTGATGGAAAGAGGGAGAATGGGGCGGGGTGATGGAAAGAGGGAGAATGGGGCGGGGTGATGGAAAGCGGGAGAATGGGGCGGGGTGATGCAAATCGGGAGAAATGGGCGGGGTGATGGAAAGCGGGAGAATGGAGCGGGGTGATGGAAAGTGGGAGAATGGGGCGGGGTGATGGAAAGTGGTAGAATGGGCCGAGGTGATGGATAGAGGGAGAATGGGGCGGGGTGATGGAAAGCGGGAGAATGGGGCGGGCTGATGGAAAGAGGGAGAATGGGGAGGGGTGATGGAAAGAGGGAGAATTGGGCGGGTTGATGGAAAGCGGGAGAATGGAGCGGGGTGATGGAAAGCGGGAGAATGGCGCGGGGTCATGGAAAGCGGGAGAATGGGGCGAGTTGATGGAAAGAGGGAGAATGGGGCGGGGTGATGGAAAGCGGGAGAATGGGACGGGGTGATGGAAAGAGGTAGAATTGGGCGGGGTGATGGATAGTGGGAGAATGGGGCGGGGTGATGGAAAGAGGGAAATTGGGGCGGGGTGATGGAAAGAGGGAGAATGGGGCGGGGTGATGGTAAGCGGGAGAATGGGGCGGGGTGATGGAAAGAGGGAGAATGGGGCGGGGTGATGGAAAGAGGGAGAATGGGGTGGGGTGACGGAAAGCGGTAGAATGGGGCGGGGTGATGGAAAGCGGGTGAATGGAGCGGGGTGATGGAAAGCGGGAGATAGGGGCGGGGTGATGGAAAGCGGGAGAATGGGGCGGGGTGATGGAAAGCGGGAGAATGGGGCGGGGTGATGGAAAGCGGGAGAATAGGGCGGGGTGATGGAAAGCGGGAGAATGGGGCGGGGTGATGGAAAGAGGGAGAATGGGGCGGGGTGATGGAAAGCGGGAGAATGGGGCGGGGTAATGGAAAAAGGGAGAATGGGGCAAGGTGATGGAAAGCGGGAGAAAGGGGCGGGGTGATGGAAAGAGGGAGAATGGAGAGGGGTGATGGAAAGAGGGAGAATTGGGCGGGGTGATGGAAAGCGGGAGAACGGAGCGGGGTGATGGACAGTGGGAGAATGTGTTGGGGTGATGGAAAGCGGGAGAATGGGGCGGGGTGATGGAAGAGGGAGAATGGGGCGGGGTGATGGAAAGAGGGAGAATGGGGAGGGGTGATGGAAAACGGGAGAACGGGGCGGGGTGATTGAGAGCGGGAGAATGGGGCGGGGTGATGGAAAGAGGGAGAATGGGGCGGGGTGATGGAAAGCGGGAGAATGGGGCGGGGTGATGGAATCAGGAAGAATGGGGCAGGGTGATGGAAACAGGGAGAATGGGGCGGGGTGATGGAAAGAGGGTGAATGGGGCGGGGTGATGGAAGGAGGGAGAATGGGGAGGGGTGATGGAAAGAGGGAAAATTGGGCAGGGTGATGGAAAGCGGGAGAATGGAGCGAGGTGATGGAAAGCAGGAGAATGGGGCGGGGTGATGGAAAGCGGGAGAATGGGGCGGGGTGATGGAAAGAGGGAGAATGGGGAGGGGTGATGGAAAGAGGGAGAATGGGGCGGGGTGATGGAAAACGGGAGAATCGGGCTGGGTGATGGAAAGAGGGAGAATGGGGAGGGGTGATGGAAAGAGGGAGAATTGGGCGGGGTGATGGAAAGCGGGAGAATGGAGCGGGGTGATGGAAAGTGGGAGAATGGGGCGGGGTGATGGAAAGCGGGACAATGGGACGGGGTGATGGAAAGAGTGAAAATGGGGCGGGGTGATGGATTGGGGGAGAATGGGGCGGGGTGATGGAAAGAGGGAGAATGGGTCGGGGTGATGGAAAGAGGGAAAATTGGGCGGGGTGATGGAAAGCGGGAGAATGGAGCGGGGTGATGGAAAGCGGGAGAATGGGACGTCGTGATGGAAAGCAGTAGAATGGGGCGGGCTAATGGAAAGAGGGAGAATGGTGCAGGGTGATGAAAAGCGGGAGAATGGTGCGGGGTGATGGAAAGAGGGAGGATGGGGCGAGGTGATGGAAAGAGGGAGAATGGGGCGGGGTGATGGATAGAGGGAGAATGGGGAGGGCTGATGGAAAGAGGGAGAATGGGGCGGGGTGATGGAAAGATGGAGAATGGGGAGGGGTGATGGAAAGAGGGAGAATTGGGCAGGGTGATGGAAAGCGGGAGAATGGAGCGGGGTGATGGAAAGCGGGAGAATGGGGCGGTGTGATGGAAAACGGGAGAATGGGGCGGGGTGATGGAAAGCGAGAGAATGGGGCGGGGTGATGGAAAGAGGGAGAATGGGGCGCGGTGATGGAAAGAGGGAGAATGGGGCGGGGTGATGGAAAGCGGGAGAATGGGGCTGGGTGATGGAAAGAGGGAGAATGGGGAGGGGTGATGGAAAGAGGGAGAATTAGGTGGGGTGTTGGAAAGCGGGAGAATGGAGCGGGGTGATGGAAAGCGGGAGAATGGGGCGGGGTGATGGAAAGCGGGAGAATGGGACGGGGTGATGGAAAGAGTGAAAATGGGGCGGGGTGATGGATTGGGGGAGAATGGGGCGGGGTGATGGAAAGAGGGAGAATGGGGCGGGGTGATGGAAAGCGGGAGAATGGGACGAGGTGATGGAAAGAGTGAAAATGGGGAGGGGTGATGGATTGGGGGAGAATGGGGCGGGGTGATGGAAAGAGGGAGAATGGGTCGGGGTGATGGAAAGAGGGAAAATTGGGCGGGGTGATGGAAAGCAGGAGAATGGGACGGGGTGATGGAAAGCAGTAGAATGGGGCGGGGTGATGGAAAGAGGGAGAATTGGGCGGGGTGATGGAAAGCGGGAGAACGGAGCGGGGTGATGGACAGTGGGAGAATGGGGTGGGGTGATGGAAAGCGGGAGAATGGGGCGGGGTGATGGAAGAGGGAGAATGGGGCGGGGTGATGGAAAGAGGGAGAATGGGGAGGGGTGATGGAAAACGGGAGAACGGGGCGGGGTGATTGAGAGCGGGAGAATGGGGCGGGGTGATGGAAAGAGGGAGAATGGGGCGGGGTGATGGAAAGCGGGAGAATGGGGCGGGGTGATGGAATCAGGGAGAATGGGGCAGGGTGATGGAAACAGGGAGAATGGGGCGGGGTGATGGAAAGAGGGTGAATGGGGTGGGGTGATGGAAAGAGGGAGAATGGGGAGGGGTGATGGTAAGAGGGAGAATTGGGCGGGGTGATGGAAAGCGGGAGAATGGAGCGGGGTGATGGAAAGCGGGAGATAGGGGCGGGGTGATGGAAAGCGGGAGAATGGGGCGGGGTGATGGAAAGCGGGAGAATGGGGCGGGGTGATGGAAAGCGGGAGAATGGGGCGGGGTGATGGAAAGCGGGAGAATGGGGCGGGGTGATGGAAAGAGGGAGAATGGGGCGGGGTGATGGAAAGCGGGAGAATGGGGCGGGGTAATGGAAAAAGGGAGAATGGGGCAAGGTGATGGAAAGCGGGAGAAAGGGGCGGGGTGATGGAAAGAGGGAGAATGGAGAGGGGTGATGGAAAGAGGGAGAATTGGGCGGGGTGATGGAAAGCGGGAGAACGGAGCGGGGTGATGGACAGTGGGAGAATGGGGTGGGGTGATGGAAAGCGGGAGAATGGGGCGGGGTGATGGAAGAGGGAGAATGGGGCGGGGTGATGGAAAGAGGGAGAATGGGGAGGGGTGATGGAAAACGGGAGAACGGGGCCGGGTGATTGAGAGCGGGAGAATGGGGCGGGGTGATGGAAAGAGGGAGAATGGGGCGGGGTGATGGAAAGCGGGAGAATGGGGCGGGGTGATGGAATCAGGGAGAATGGGGCAGGGTGATGGAAACAGGGAGAATGGGGCGGGGTGATGGAAAGAGGGTGAATGGGGCGGGGTGATGGAAGGAGGGAGAATGGGGAGGGGTGATGGAAAGAGGGAAAATTGGGCAGGGTGATGGAAAGCGGGAGAATGGAGCGAGGTGATGGAAAGCAGGAGAATGGGGCGGGGTGATGGAAAGCGGGAGAATGGGGCGGGGTGATGGAAAGAGGGAGAATGGGGAGGGGTGATGGAAAGAGGGAGAATGGGGCGGGGTGATGGAAAACGGGAGAATGGGGCTGGGTGATGGAAAGAGGGAGAATGGGGAGGGGTGATGGAAAGAGGGAGAATTGGGCGGGGTGATGGAAAGCGGGAGAATGGAGCGGGGTGATGGAAAGTGGGAGAATGGGGCGGGGTGATGGAAAGCGGGACAATGGGACGGGGTGATGGAAAGAGTGAAAATGGGGCGGGGTGATGGATTGGGGGAGAATGGGGCGGGGTGATGGAAAGAGGGAGAATGGGTCGGGGTGATGGAAAGAGGGAAAATTGGGCGGGGTGATGGAAAGCGGGAGAATGGAGCGGGGTGATGGAAAGCGGGAGAATGGGACGTCGTGATGGAAAGCAGTAGAATGGGGCGGGCTGATGGAAAGAGGGAGAATGGTGCAGGGTGATGAAAAGCGGGAGAATGGTGCGGGGTGATGGAAAGAGGGAGGATGGGGCGAGGTGATGGAAAGAGGGAGAATGGGGCGGGGTGATGGATAGAGGGAGAATGGGGAGGGCTGATGGAAAGAGGGAGAATGGGGCGGGGTGATGGAAAGATGGAGAATGGGGAGGGGTGATGGAAAGAGGGAGAATTGGGCAGGGTGATGGAAAGCGGGAGAATGGGGCGGTGTGATGGAAAACGGGAGAATGGGGCGGGGTGATGGAAAGCGGGAGAATGGGGCGGGGTGATGGAAAGAGGGAGAATGGGGCGCGGTGATGTAAAGAGGGAGAATGGGGCGGGGTGATGGAAAGCGGGAGAATGGGGCTGGGTGATGGAAAGAGGGAGAATGGGGAGGGGTGATGGAAAGAGGGAGAATTAGGTGGGGTGTTGGAAAGCGGGAGAATGGAGCGGGGTGATGGAAAGCGGGAGAATGGGGCGGGGTGATGGAAAGCGGGAGAATGGGACGGGGTGATGGAAAGAGTGAAAATGGGGCGGGGTGATGGATTGGGGGAGAATGGGGTGGGGTGATGGAAAGAGGGAGAATGGGGCGGGGTGATGGAAAGCGGGAGAATGGGACGAGGTGATGGAAAGAGTGAAAATGGGGAGGGGTGATGGATTGGGGGAGGATGGGGCGGGGTGATGGAAAGAGGGAGAATGGGTCGGGGTGATGGAAAGAGGGAAAATTGGGCGGGGTGATGGAAAGCAGGAGAATGGGACGGGGTGATGGAAAGCAGTAGAATGGGGCGGGGTGATGGAAAGCAGTAGAATGGTGCGGGGTGATGGAAAGCGGGAGAATGGTGCGGGGTGATGGAAAGAGGGAGAATGGGGAGGGGTGATGGAAAGAGGGAGAATGGGTCGGGGTGATGGAAAGAGGGAGAATGGAGAGGGGTGATGGAAAGAGGGAGAATTGGGCGGGGCGATGGAAAGCGG